CCACTGGAGCAGCATTTATGTTTCATATATGCACTGTATAAGAGCACATAGTCTGCAGGCTAGTCAGTGGATAGGTCATGTAAAATGTATTGATAATATGTGTGCACATAGTTTTAGATCAGAACATTTGTAAATGGTATACTGTAATTTTGCAAGTATATACACAAATGTTTCAGTCATTTATAAATGGCATAAAAGTGTTCAAACTGCACCCAGGTTTTATTGTTATCTGTACTCGTATTTTTTCCTTTGGAACTAATTAACCTGTGTCCCCTTGCATTCTTCAGACTTTTCTGAGCTAAACTTGGAATCATTTGACCACTGTTACTTTACAGGTTGGATACAAAAAAGACCATTGACCCAACATTGCTCAGTCATTTTGGAAGAGCATGTAACCCTGTACCGAAGGTTCTTGTAGTGCAGAGGTAGTGTCCCTACCACTGGGCTCAGGTTCAGTTCCCCACTTGCTCCGATGTGCATCATAATATGTCTGGACAAGATGATAGGAGATATTTATACTGTAGTTCTGTATTATTATAGATATTATCCTATCCTTTATTATTGATTTTCTTTTTTTTTGACCCATGATAAATGTTTTGCTTCCAGCCTATTGGAAAATCCATTTCATGATAGACACTCTTCTTGTCAACATCAAACTGATATTTGACTTATCCTGTTTCCTCTGTTCAATATAAATATTTTATGGTGTTATCATGATACATTCCTTTAATAAGCATTAAAGTCATGTGTCGAAGTCCTATCTGTTCCTAGTTTTTTTAACATCACCAGTTTCTTGTGAAATGGTGAATCTGCCAATGACGTCAGTGTTTTATTTAGAATTAATGAATATTCTTGATTTATAAATCAATTGTTATAAATTGATTTAAATTTGTTATTGCACCTAATGCCTAATTAAGTTGTTGCATATCAGCAAATTTGGTTCACTCAAAAAATCAGTTGCTGTGAGCTATGTATGAAAATTAAAATTTAAGGTTTTTGAATTAAAACTTAAATTTCAAATTGAAGTAACTGTAAATTAAAAATTCACATCCTAACTAAAATTTTAATGAGTGTAAAAATTCATGTGAAAAGCAATCCTTTGACTTTGGGACAATTTCAGGACAAGGCAAACTATCAGTATAAAGTATTTGAAACCTGGCTCTTAAATTGAGAGTGGTCTACATTGGAGACTTTGCTGTTGTGATCTTCTCAGTTCTAATATTTCATCATTTCTTAGACTCCCATTTCTGATGTTAACTGAATGCAATAGTTGTTTTTCTTCTTTAAGTCTGGCCACAAACTTGAATGCACTTAGCACACAACAGGTGAGACTAAATCAAACTTTATTGTTCTTCACTCTCCAACTAAATCCGCCTATTACTTTGTGACTGCTGTTGAAGGTAGAGTCAACCTACAAAATGGTTTTGCCGTTATATAAGGATTTCTGAAATCTCTTTTCTGCACCATTAGTTCATTGCTTGGCACTAGCTGCAAGGAGCCTGTAAATTTGGACTGTTTCAAAGGCTGATGCTGTTTGTGCTGCCTCTGACATTATCTGCCTTCTGTTGCTCCTCTGCACAGTTATAGAGTCATATAGCTCAGAAACAACCCTTCGGTCTAATCGGTCAAACAGAATCCCAAACTAAGCTAATCTCACCTACCTGGCTCCTGGCTGATATCCCTCAAAACCTTTCCAATTCATGTATCTATTCAAATGTCTTTTAAATGTTGTAATTGTACCTGCATCCACCACTTCTTCAGGAAATTCATTCCATACATGAACAATCCTCTGTGTCAAAAAAAAATTGCCTCATGTCTTGTTTACATTCTCTTTCCTCTCACCTTAAAAATATGATCCCGAGTGTTGAAATCCCCCCATTTTAGAGAAAAGACAACTACCATTAACTCCGTCTATACCTTTCATTATTGTATAAACTTCTGTTAAGTCCCCTCTCAACCTCCTATGCTCCAGTGAGAAAGGTCCCAGCCTATCCAACCTTTCTTTATCACTCAAACCTTCCACACCTGGCAACATCCTGGTAAATATCTTCTGAACCCACTCCAGCTTGATAATATCCTTCCTCTAACTGGACAACCAGAACTGGACACAGTATTCCAAAGAGGCCTCACCAATGTCCTGTACAACCTCAACATGACTTCCCCACATGACTATACTCAAAGGACTGAGCAATGAAGACAAGCATGCCAAATACCTTTTTAACCACCCTGTCTATGTGTGATGCAAACTTCAAAGAATTATGTACCTGCACCCCTAGGTCCCTCTCTTCTACAACGCTACCCAAGGCCCTACCATTAATTGGAGAAGCCCTACCCTTGTTTGTTATGCTTAATATGCCCGTATTTACTTTAACCCTGTCACTTCTAGTCTTACCATCCTAAAGCCCTTTGAATATTAATCGTTTTGTAGGACTTAACTGCGTCACCTTTCCTCTCCATTCTTAATCATTCAGTTGTCTTATCATCCACGTGCTTGCCAAAGTTGTTGCAATTTTTTTTAGGTTAGCATCCATCCTGCTCACTTCCAAATTCCACAATTGTTTTTTCACAGAACACCTTTCCCTATCACTGAACATAAAAAGCTCATCTGTATACAGACTTTCTCAACCTCTCATCACTAACATCCCATACTTCTCCAAGGTTCTTCACTGTCTTCTTGAAGCTCCAGTAAGCCCCTCTCTCAAATTTTAGTTATTGTTGAAGTAGTTGTTGGTGACTTACCTTTTATTCCTTCCAATTAGCCAAAATCTTGCTTTCCCTCTAAAATTCACACAAATTAACTGGTTGAGCTGGAAATCTGTCTGGATAGGGAATTGTGATGCTATATCTAGCACTTACTGCATCAGCACTTCGTGGCTGGATGCAGGCGTGAATGCTGGAAACGCTGAATTTGGTCATATTTGTGAACCAAGGATTTGAGTTTAAACTTCACATGATAACCTGTTGCCAGACTGAAGGAACATTAGAGAGGAATAGTTTAGAAGAAGGATCTAAGCCCGTAAAAACAAACTAAGCTAAGATGATGAGACAATAGGATGTGCTTAAATAGAAAGCACAAAATGGTAAAACAATAGAGTTGTAATGATGACAAAGTGAAGCAGTAAGAAACAAAAGATGTATTTGAGATCAAGTGGATGTGTAAACGTAGAAAGGAGGAGCATGATTGAATTATAGAAATGTAACAATGCAGAGGAGGCTAGTGGAAGAGCAGGCAGGCGATACTTATTTTCCAGCATTTTGTTTTCTTTTCCAGATTTTCAGCATCTTCAATATTTTTGATTTTTGACCACTATTAAAACCTTATAAACCATGTAAAAATTTGACCATGTGTTCAGATTGGACTAAAATAATCCACTGTTCATTGTGGTGTTGTATGTACCTCATTCTACTGATCAAATCTTCCTGTTTGGAGGGAAAAGTACTTGGCAGCTTGTTTTGAAGTGATAATGCGATTGTAATAGTTGTAATGCAAATATTCCAAATTTAACAATCTCCAAGTAGCAAAGTCACTTCAATTTTAATTCTGACGTGGCACTGAACAAGATAAATAATGGTAGCTGTTTAAACACAAATAGTTTGCAGTCGGCAGTGAAGCACACTGTTCAAATTTTTGCAGTAATTAAAAGGATTAATGAAGAAAAAGGCACATTTTTTTACAGACTAATCTAGTTTTGCACTGGAGCATAAAGTAGATGTCTTGAATCCAATCTCCAATTTTTATCTAAAATAGCAGTTGGTTGTGATGGAACTAACTGCAGGGAGCATGCTAAGCAGAGATTCTCAAACTGAGCTGTGATGTGAAGTCAATATTATTTGTGTAGTAAGTCATTGCTTTGCCTGTATCAGACTCCATAACTTAATATGAGCAAATAGAATTTAATCCATTATTTTCCAAATCCATAATCATGATCATTCATGTTTGACCCTTTGTTACTTCTCTTAACTCCACATGATGATAGTACACACGTTAACAATCTAAATGAAGGAACTGAGGGCTATGTTGCTAAGTTTGCAAATGACACAAAAATAGGAGGTGGAGCAGGTAGTATTGAGGGAATGGGGAGGCTGCAGAATAAGAACAGGCTTGGGCTTGGACTTGGACAGGCTAGGAGAGTGGGCAAAGAAATGGCAGATGGAATACAATATGGGAAAGTGTGAGGTTGTACACTTTGGGAGGAAGAATAGAGGCTATATTCTAATTGGGGAAAGGCTTTTGAAATCTGAAGCAGAAAGGAACTTAGGAGTCCTAGTTAGATTCTTATAAGGTTAGCATGCAAGTCAATTGGCAGAAGCCATATTAGCATACATTTCAAGAGAACCAGAATACAAAAGCAGAAATGTACTGCTGAGGCTGTAAAAGGTTCTGGTCAGACTGCATTTGTAGTAATATGTTTTGGTTCCCCTATCTAAGGAAGGCATTGGAGGGTGTCCGGAGGAAGTTTGTAAGAATGATCCCAGGGATAAAAGGCTTGTCATATGAGGAGCAGTTGAGGACTCCAGGTCTGTACTCAGTGGAGTTTAGAAGGCTGAAGGGTGTTCTGATTGAAACCTACAGAATACTGAGAGGCTTGGATAAAATGAATGAGGAGAAGGTATTTCCAATAGCAGGACAGACGAGGACCCGTGGGCACAGCCTCAGAGTGAAGACACAACCCTTTCGAATTGAGATGAGAAATTTCTTCAGCCAGAGGGTGGTTAATCTGTGGAACTTATTGCCATGACTGTGGAGGCCGAGTCATTGAGTTTCTGTAAGATAGATTGGGCCTTGATTGGGAAGGAATCGAGAGTTACAGGAGAAGATAGGAGCATGTTGAGAAACATATGAGGGACAATTCAATGGCGGTTCAGACACCCATGGCCTAATTCTGCCCCAACGTCTTATGGCCATGGGCATTTATGTTTGAATGTTAATTGCGGAATGCACAAATATGTATGCTGTTATTTGCTAACTTTTACTCTTGGTTTGCTCTTTGCCTTTCTAGCGATTACCACAACAGATTGAAGAAAGAAATGAGAAAATGAAAGAAGAAATGCTAGGTAAGTACTTTTGCAATGGTGTAGTATTCCTAGAATTACCTTCATTATGAGCCAGTGGTATCCACAACTTTCTGTATTGTTATGATCTCAGTAGAGACTAGTATTTTTTTTTTGGAAGTTGGTAAACCCAGGTATTTACTAAAAGAATGAAGTCACAAGGTTCACAGTTTACAACAAAAACCAAAATTAATGTATTCTAGTAAGGCGGCACATTAGTTCAGTAGTTAGCACTGCTGCCTTTCAGCACCAGAAACCCAGGTTGAATTTCACCCTCGGGCAACTGTCTGTGTAAGAGTTTGCATATTCTCTCTGTGTCTGTGTGGATTTCCTCCTGATATTCTGGTTTCCTCACGGTCCAAAGATGTGCAGGTTAAGTGGATTTGTCGTGCTAAATTGCCCATAGTATCCAGGATGTGCAGTCTAGGTGGATTAGCCATGGGAAATGCAGGGTAACAGGGATAGGGTAGAGGGGTGGGTCTGAATGGGATGCTCTTTGGAGGGCTTGTGTTTTATTTGATGGTTCGAATGGCCTGCTTCCACTCTTTAGGGTTTTTATGAATAACTGCACTGTCTTAGATATTAACGTTAGAATTAAAATTGCAATGAACACACTTACTTACTTTATAAACCAAACTCTTGACGCGTTTCCTTCTGCACCTATTTCGCCTACATCTCAAAAACACAAGTTAGGTACTAATCCAAATTTGGAAGGTTATCACTTGGTCTCATTACCATTTTAAAGATTTGTCAAAGAGCTGAGGTTTCTTGGGCTTTCTGCTTATTTCTAGCAAAGTTGGTCCTTCAAATCTTTGAGAGAAGGAAGAAAATTTGGTAATTTAGTAGTATAGGTACACTTTATTTGCCATTATTACAGCCATATAACGAGGAGTGAAATGACGCATCTCTCTTCACCTGCTTTGGTTGGCCCAAACAAATGTTGAAAATTATTTTCTAGCACATGGCTATACCTCTCTCTGATATAACATACAGTTATTGAATATTTATTGACTGCCATGAGACCTGGACTGTGCATCTGTGATACATAGATTCCATCAGCAATGCTTCTGCTGCAGCCCCTGAATTTATTGGGAGGACTATCAAAGGATGCTGTCCTTTTTGAACTCAGCTCCACAAGCTTTCAGGCAAAACTCATGCAAAGTCAACTACCGTAAAAGGTACAGAACCTGGAAAGTTAAAAGTCGTCTCCCCTCACCAGATCCTATTTTCACACCTCTCAAGTAACCAGTATTCTAGGCGAGGGCTTCCATCATCATATTTGAATGCCTGGGACTTTGGTGGCCTGAAATGATTTTAAAGAGGAAAATCACTGTCTTAAAAAGGCCTCAGCAATCATTTGACCACAGATTGGCTAGGTCATGAAACCAAAGTAAAGATAAACAGACATGGGTATCAGTTAGCTGAATTGGTTGAATAGCTGGTTTGACGTGACTGTTGAATGATGCCAGCAGTGTGGGTTTCATTCCCACACCAGCTGAGGTTACCACGAAGGACTATCCTCCTCAATCTCTTCCCCTCTCCTGAGGCATGGAGACCCTCAGGTTAAACCATCACCAGTTGCCTCTCCCTAATGAGGAGCCAATTAGTGTTTTCTTGAGTGAAGCAAAGAGCAATTTTGTTATCTGTTAACCCCAAGAAGAAAATTGTAGACATGAAGTCAAACGTATACACAGCTATCAAATTAAAAACTGATAATCTCCAGTACAGGGGTAAGATGGATGGAATATACTGTTTAAAGTTCTTAGGGTGTCCTTGAGATGTAAAGTATTAACATAAGGCCATTGTAGTTTAACTGACGTTTTGTATCTTGGAGGCAGCAAATATTTCATTTGTCCCTTTGAGTTCACTGTGATCTTAACTAATTCTGTTACCAGGCATTTTCCTTGAGAGGTCAAAAGATTGTTTTTTCTTATTCTGGTTAGAGTCAAAAGTCCTCTGCTGTGCCAAAAACATTTCCTTGAAATTCCAGCTTGTCTTGTACACTCTGTTTATGGGAGCTATGTTTCTTTTGTACTTGATAATTGTAAGTGAGGTTCCATCTTCAATATGTGAAAATTTGCATTAAAGTGTAAACCAAAATAGGAGAAGAAGGTTTCTTCACATCTGTCTGGGTTGACTGGGTGCAATGTGGACCCTTTTGATAATTATTCATTTTGCTTCACGCTGTCTTTATTTAAAGTAAGGTAAAGTCACAATAGTCTTACCAGACCAAAGAACTGTTCTCACAATAGAGAGCGATGACTGGTGGTGGTTTAATCCAAAGGTCACTGTGCCTCAGCTGAGGGGAGAAGTTGAGAAGGAGAGTTCTCCATGGCACCTTCAACCACTGTGAGAATGGAACCCATTCTGTTGGCTAACAGAGCTAACTGGTGCCTGCCTTTGTTTATCTTACTTTGGTCTCATGACTTGGCCAACCTGTGGTCAGATGATTGTTGAGGTCATTGTAAGACAGTGATTTTCCTCTTAAAAATATTTCCAGGCCACCAAAGTATTGATTTGATTTGAGTTTTTTGTTATCACGTACCTAAGTACAGTGAAAAGTTTTGTTTTGCAAACAGTACAGGCATTTCATAGGGCACTTAGAGCAAGGCACACAAGGTTACGGCTGCACGGGAGGTGCACGAAGCATGATCAACATTAATTTGATATTATATAGAATATTTATATAGAATGTTCTTTATTGTCCTGTATTAGAGAGGTTGATTCAGCAGTCTCATAACAGCAGGGAAAAAGCAGTTCTTGAAGTTGTTGGTGCGTGTTCAAGTTTCTGCATCTTCTGCCTGATGGAAGAGGTTGGAAGGGTATTACCAGGGTGGGAGGTGCCATTGATGATTTTGGCAGCCTTTTCGCAACAACGGTAAGTGTAAGTGGAGTCCGTGGTCGGGAGGCTGGCTTACGTGATGGTTTGGGCTGTGCACACAACCTTCTGTAGTTTCTCATGATCCTGGGCAGAGCAATTGCCGTACCAAGCCATTACGCACCCGCATAGAATGTTTTCTTTCGTTCATCTGTAAAAGTTGATGAGGGTCTTTATAGACATACCCTACATGGACAAAATAAGATGGTGGAAGTCCTTTCCTAGAATGCTGGCCACTTGAGAGGTATAAAAATAGGACCTGGTGGGGGGCAGACAATTTTTAACTTTCCAGATTCTGTCCCTTCTAATATAGTCAATTTTGCATGAGTTTTGCCTGAATGCTTGTGGAGCTGGGTTCAGAAAGGACAGCAGTCTTTGATGGTCCTCCCATTATGTCCAAGGGTTTCAGTGGAAACATTGCTGATGGAGTTTCTCTAAGTATCACTAATGCACAGTCCAGATCTCATGGTAGTCAACAGTATTGCAAAAACACAGTTGTGTAGACGAGGGCTATTATTAACTTGAAAAGGCTTGTTGTAGTTTGTAGAAGGCTGGATGGTACATCAATCCTGTACTGGATCTTTTTGTCAGTAGTGAACTTTTAAGAGAAATAGCTGCCATAAATGTTCAGCATATGTCTCCTTCATATGTAGAGGATGAAATATTTGGCTAACTGGGTGTGGATTGATATGAAATCATACGTAGATTGTGTCACTGAATTATTATTAACAACGTAATCCTTTTCTATCTGAATTGGCGCATTCAGAAGATTACTGGTTGATTTGATCTGGCATTTCCCTGGCAACTGGTGGCAGTAACACCGGAAACCTGGAGTTATTTGCCAAACTCCTAGAAAATTATGGGAAATGAATTGGAAAATTTATTACAAAACTTTAGAGAATGCAGTCTTATTTAATATAACATTTAACCATTGCACGTCCTTGACCGAAAATTGTATTGATGATAAATGATGTATTTTATCCATAAGTGCCATGCATGCTGTTGTGGCGCAGTGGTAGTGTCCTTGCCCCTGAACCGACTCAAGCCCCATCTGTTTCAGTTGTGTGAAATGCCTTCTCTGAACAGATTGATTAGAAAAATGGGTTAAATAAGAAGAAGATATATTGGATTCATCCGTAAGTACATTGGTTTGCTGTTTAAAACAAATCCATTTAACTGGAGGTGTCTTCTGCTAATTGGAATGTTGTTTTCAATAAAAATATTGCTTTACTGTTCTTTCTGAAATATATTCACTTTCCACGGATATTAAGAATAGAGTTTCTGTTGTTTCAGTTTTATGCACATAATATTGATGCAGATTTGTTGCACATTAAGGTGATATATGTTGTAGAGGATATGAAGAGGTGATCTCTTTTTAGAACAGCAAAAAAAAACTTTGGTTTTCAGGGTGTGAATACAGGACAGGAATGGTTTTAATCGTTTTGTTTAAGTTTATTCTGTACCAGTTTGGTTACTGAGGAGACACCCGAGAGATTTTCTGTAATGTTGGCTAAAATTTGTTGTTTTTTAAAAGTTATTTTGCTATTATGGAATTTTCTTTCCATAGAATCCCTACAGTGTGAAAAGAGGCCATTCAGCCCAACGAGTCCACACCGACTCTACGAAGAGTATCCAACCCAGATCCATCACCCTTCCCTATACCTGTAACCCTGCATTTTCTATGGCTAACTCACCTAACCTACATATCCTGGAACACTATGGGTAATTTAGCATGGCCAATCCACCTAACTTGTGCAAATTTGGACTGTAGAGGAAACCAGAGCACCAGCAGAAACCCTCGCAGACACTGGGAGAATGTGCAAACTCCACACAGTCGCCCGAGGGTGGAATTGAACCCAGGTCTCTGGTGCTGTGAGCCTGCAGTGCCAACCACTGAGCCGCCATGCCACCGTTTCGTTATGAGGACATATAATTTCAGCAAATGTGAACATTTAATTTGTACTTTCATAGTTTAAAAATATTGTACTGATTGAAGTGAGAAATGTCTGTACGTCCAAAAATTGGATAATTATTATACTGTGCAACAGTGTTCAAAAGAGAGAATGCCTTGAAGGGTCTGTTACAGAATCCAGTTGGTTGGAATTGGGAAACAATAAACGAGTTATTATGCAACTTGATGTATGTTATGTGCCCCCAGAGCAGTGTGAACTTGCACAAGGAGTAGATTTGCAAGGATATTACTGGCAAGTATAAGACCTGCAGAGTAGTGATAGTGGCAGACTTCAATCACTCAATACTAAGTGGAAGCATAGATTGTATTAAGGGCAAATGAGCAGACAAATTTCTGAAGTGTGTTCGGTAGACTTAATCAGTATGTTTTGAACCCAGTAGAGAAGGAGGTATTATTGCTAGCGCTAATCCTTGAGAAATGAAGCAAGTGAAAAATGTCACTGGGGGAGCATTTCTAGACTAGTGGTCATAGTATTGGGGCAGCATGGTGGCACAGTGGTTAGCATTGCAGCGTCACAGAGCCAGGGACCCAGGTTCAGTTCCAGCCTTGGGCGACTGTTTGTGTGGAGTTTGTACACCCGAAGGTGGATTAACAGTGGCCATGCTAAATTGCCCCTCCGTGTTCAGGGATGTGCAGCTAAGTGGGTTAACTATGGTGAATGTGGGATAACAGGGATGGCCAGAATTACTTTGTTGAAGAAAGAATTAGCTAGTATGAGGCAGCAGCAAATTAGGGATAAATGGATGATATCTAGGTTGAAAGATACAATGGAATAGAATAGAACAGCTTTTATTGTCAATGTACTCGATGAGTATAGTGAAAAGTTTATACATCGCCAATTACAGTGCCAGCTTAGATGCAAAATACCTAGGCGCATCCTCGTTAGTTAAGAGCTTTTAGACAATACAGAAATAAAATGTCCAACATTACAGAAGAGTTCAATATAGCAGAGTTCAATATAGCTTTCAGTCAGCACCGGGCCAGCGACACGTCACACTGGAGGCCGCTATAGGAGGCCAGAATGTTGCTGCGCCAGGCTGAGGTGCCAACACTCTGATGCTGCTGCAGGCCACCAGGAGGTTGCCATTCGCGGTGGCTCGGGATGGTCATTCTTTGCTGCAGGTCGTTGGAGGCTGGGAGTCGAAGGGAAAAAAGGAGAAGAAGGAAAAAGAGCACTAGGTGAAAGAACAAGAGAAGAGACGGAAGAAGACCAAGCAGAGTGGATGAGCTCTGGCTGGAGTGTCCTACTCCGCTGTCATCTTGCAACATGATAGCATGGATATAAAGTTGGTTCATCCATAGGATTGTGGTAAATGGTTGCTTTTCAGACTGGCCAAGAGTGTATTGGAATAGTCAAGCTCACTAAGTTAGATTGGGATGTCTGATCGGCGCAGATGGGATGGACCAAAGGGCCTGTTTCCATGCTGTATGACTCTGTGACTCTAATTCCAGAGGTGACAAAGGCATGTAGGAGGCTTTAGTGGTAGATGTTGAACCAACTAGCCTATTTTCTGTCCTGTATATCCAGTGTAATGTTATTTAATGAGCTGAGGTAGAGACAATCTCCAACAAAAGTCTGATTCGCCCTTTGACAGTTGTTAGAGGAATGTAGTTATTAAAGAATGAACAGTGTGGCAGTTCATTTCAGTATTTTTAAATATACATTATAAGTGATAACCTCATCGTAAGCATGCTGTAAAATAATTATCCCTCACCTTATGTCAATCAAGGTAATTTTGACCTAGCTCGCATTCTTTGACGGAAAAATTGTTTACATCATGCAAACTAACATATCTAGATTTTCGCTAAATCGTTACCATATTTTGAGGGCGCACATGATGTTTGAGTGCATTAATTAAATTGTGGCTATATTTCATCTTCCCAAATGATTTATAATTTAGAGAATAATAGAGATGTACATCACGGAAACAGACCTTTCCATCCAACTCGTCCATGCTGATCAGATATCCTAAATTAATCCAGTCCCATTTGCCAGCGTTTGGCCCTTATCCCTCCAAACCCTTCCTATTCATAAACCCATCCAAATACCTTTTAAATGTTGTAATTGTACCACTCCCGCAGCCATTCATTCCATTCACATACCACGCTCTGTGTGAAAAAGTTGCCCCTAGGGTACCTTTTTAAAACTTTTCACTTCAACCTATGCCCCCTTTATTTTGGGCTCCCCTACCCTGGGGACAGCCTTGACTATTCACCCTGTCCATGCCCCTCATGATTTTAGAAACTTTTAAAAGGTCACTTCTGCTCCAAAGAAAATTGTTCCAGCCTATACAGCCTCTCCCTATAGCTAAAATTGTCCAACACTGGCAACATCCTTGAGTATTTTCTGAACCCTTTCAAGGTTAACAACATCCTTCCTATGGCAAGGAGACCAGAATTGAACACAGCGTTCCAAAAGTGGCCTAACCAATGTGCTGTACAGCCAGAACATGACCTCTCAATTCCTATACTCAATGGACTGACCAATGAAGGCAAGTTTACCAAATGCTTTCTTCACTACCCTGTCCATCTGCAACTCCACTTTCAAGGAACTATGAACCTGCACTCCAAGTTCCCTTTGTTCAGTAACACTCCCCAAGACCCTACCATTAAGTATGCAAGTCCTACCCTGATTTGCCATACTAAAATGTAATTCACCCCTTAGTTTTGAGGGTTTCTGTAGGCAAGGTAAGAGATTTAGTTAATCAAGGGATGTAAGTAACTTCCTGGGGTAAGTGATTTTTTTTCAGTCAATAAATATGTTACAACATTAAATTCTCAGTAGCAGTCACAATGGATAGAATTCTTTTAAGACAATAATGTCTTTCAATAAATGTTATTTTACAATTTTAACATTTAAATACGTCATTCATAATTCTGTTGTAAGACTGTGCTTTGATGAATGTGCACAAAATAATTGGTGACAGTGCAGAAGACTAAGTTTGAACCAGATTTCTTTTCGAACAATTCACTTGGAAATTTGGATTCCATCATTAATGACACTGTATGTTCTGACTAGCATCGTCCATCTGTTTTGTTTTCTGCCAATCACATGGTTGTGTCACGATTGCTAGTATTCTCCACCCCCCACCAAGCTTCCTTCTCAGACTGACTACTTGTATATATTGCCTTGCACTTTGATACAGTTTTCCCCTCTGCATCTGATCCCAGGCCATGCATCCAGCCTCATAGCCCTATTGGTAGGATTTTACAGACTACTTCAGTAATTTTGAGATCACTTCAATATCTGCACCATGAAATTGATTTGCAGCTGTTTGACCACAGTTTGTAATCTGGCCAGCAGAGAACAATAATATTACAACTCTAATTGAAGACAACTAAATTCAATAAATAAAGTAAAATAGTTTATTTGTATGTGGATTTTCTCCTACCCAGCTAGCTAAGGCGCATTTCCAAAATAGTGAATTATATCTTTGCTGTTGTGCTGGAGAGAAACCATTATACTTTAGGACCATATCCAACTAAGGAGTCAACTCTGAGCACATTGGCGAGAAAAATTATCAGGAGAAAGGATCAGGTGGGATTGGTGGTGGTGGCTTAGGTGATCAAGAGTCAGAGGACAAAGGAGAATAAAATCATTGATCTCTGAATTAGTTTTGTTCAACCATTTTCTTCCTCCTCTCCACTCCCTTCTAGTTGTCTCTGCTCTTATTGCCACATTTTAATTTGTTATGTTATCTCTTGTTTGGATTTCATCTTTTACTTTAATGTCAATATAATTTGCTTCTATGCATATTGCTTTTGCTGAATCCTTACTCCTGCAAAAGATGCTGAAAAGTCGATGCAATTTCATAAACAATGCTATTTATCTAACATAATGCTTTTACTTGCAAAATCTTTGATATTGTGATCTTTTTCTTGCTCGTCTCCCCTTAAAACTGTGGTTTGAAATGAAGAAAATTGATTGACATGTAATGTCCCGTTTACAGAAAATGCCGACTGCGTCACCTTTTGTTCATAATGTACTTGTAGACTGTTTGCTGCAATATAATTTTGCATTTGGGCTATTTAACATACTGAATTTAGATGTTTTGATTAAGGGTTTGTATGTTTCCCAGAAAGACTTGTCACTGATCTTGTACTTTTTTTTAAGTTGTCCATATCTGAGTCCTTTGATGTTACCTTGAGATATTGCCCTACCGTTTATTTTCTGTTTTTTATTGTAGGCAAGCTGAAAGATCTTGGCAACATGGTTCTGCGACCCTTTGGCCTGTCCACTGAAAACTTCCTGTTAAACAAGGATCCCAACTCTGGCTCGTACTCTATCAACTTTGTGCAGAATCCAAATAACAATAATAGATAATGCTTAATTTGGAAAACGGCTCAGTGCAAGGATATGCTGTAAAAAAAGTTATATAAAAGTATTGCTTTTCTAGGCATACAAGAAACTGATCTGTTCCAATTTTTGCTATAAAATAGCAAGCATTTGTTTACAATTAGAATCTGCACAGGTTTCAAGACACTCTGTTTGAGCTGCTTGATGAAAGTAAAAGCCAGCAGTGAAACCATAAGTTTTATTTTGTCATTACATCTGGATAAGTGTTAGCCTAAGTGTGACATAGTGTTAATGAGCAAAAACAATTCATCAGTTAAGTTGCCATGTTACCACTAGGTAAATTTTTTGTTTGCCATGGACATTTAAAATTTGCAAACTGCTGAAGCTTGATGTTTAGCTTAATACTGTTGATCATGCTGAATATATTAATATTGCCCATTGCCTTACTTTCTGTAGATTTAAGAAATTGTTTGAATATGATTCAGCATGATTCAGAGAACTTCCTGGAAATAAAAATATCAAAATTGTGGATTTTTTTCCCCATGAATCCAGTATTGTTTCAATATGCATTTGGAATTAACTTGGAGCAGTTGGTCTTGACATAACTTCATGAAGCTTAACCATCGAGATGGATTTTAAAGAGCATTTGTTTTTCATATTCATAATGCAGAAACTGGCTTTTCCACTGAGCAGATCCATGCTGGCATTTATTATCCTCTGGTCTCTTCCCACCCATTCTAACTTAATCACCTCAAACAAAACCTTCTGTTGTATTTTCCCTCACTTGTTTATCTAGCTGCCCCTTAACTGTATCTCCACTATCTTCCTGAGCAGCACTTGAGGTAATGAGTTCAACGTTCCAAGAACTCCATGAGGCAATAATTTCAGTGCGGACTTCCGAAGAAACTTATGATTGGCTATTTTATATTTCTGACTCCTGGTCTCATCTGCACCAACGCCGCTATCTCCTCAGCCCCAACATATATACACACATGCACGCGCGCGCACACATATTCTGACCTCAGTCATGAGCCTACTATGCAGTACCTTATTAATTAAGAACTTCTTGAGATCCATGTATATTATGTCTGTTACATTACCTATATCTATTTTAATTCATAAATATTCATTCACTTTTATGAAACAAAACTTCTAATTTTGGAATCTGTACTTTATATTCTTTTGGTGTTTATGTTTCTACATGTTTTGCTATTTGAATAAGGATTCCTTTATCTTTCACACCACTAATGTTAAATGAGTTAACTTTGAGCCTGTTCTATCTCCCCATGTTTACAAACAACTGTCTGCCAGTTCTGTGACTCTGTTCCTTTCTTATAAGTAATTAGTTCTGAATGTTCCCTATTCTCATTGGCATTTATTTGGACATGATTAGCTAAAATTTATCTCCTTCTAAGAGTATTCTGCTTGTGACTGAGAGTATGAATGTTCAAATCTGTTGCATTCTGGAAAAAACTGAAAGATTCCATTAAACTAAACTTTGTTAGAACTTGTGACAGGCCAGAGGAATGAAAGTCCTTCATTTGTTCAGAAACGTAGTCATTGTTCATCCTCAGTTTCTACAAGCATTAAGGGTGCTCACTGTCATCTAGATTGGGATATGGGTGCTTTTCCTGTTTAAGTAATTGTGTGTTGAACTCTGGTAATCTGCTAAGTAGTATGAGTTCAAGCTCCGCAATCCATTTCCGTTTCCTGCCTCTCAGCAGTTTGTTGTATTCCTTTACCAAGGGGGAGAAGAAATTGCCTTTCCCGTTTCTCTTTTTTGTAAAGGTTTAGTCCTCTGTGATTTCTGTTATTGGAAAAAAAGTAGTTGCAGTGTTTGAATTGCAAGAAAGTCACATTATTTATATTTTTACTTGCAATGTTTGTTTATGCTGTTTGCATCTGCATTAATTTGAGGCTTCCTTCAGTTGATTTGATTTCCATTCAAGTCTACTATGTAACCTCGGGTACAATACTGGTTCACATAGACCTCTGATCCTTTCCAGCAATTGACTATTGATCTGTCTCATGTCTGTCATCAGGCACTGTTGCATAATGCTGTAATGTGTGAAAAAGAAATGTTCGGTGCAAGCCTAGATCCATCATGTATTGTTCGCTCATATTGGCAAGGTGCTATCAGAGACTAGTGTTCTCCTACAAAACAAAGTGAAAACAGAAATTGTTGTGATATGTAAAAACTGGGGAAGAAATAAAATACCCCACTTAAAGTTTTAGAGATTGCTTTTATGTTTTTGTTAAAGTAGCACAGCCTTGTTTCTTGTTAACTGGAATCATAGAATCCCTACAATGTGGAAGCAGGTTATTAGGCCCATCAAGTCCACACCAACCCTCCAAATAGCATCCCACCCAGACCCACCTCCCTACCCAATCCCTGTTACCCTACATTTCCCGTGGCTAATCTACCTAGCCCGCACATCCCTGGGCACTATGGGCAATTTTACATGGCGGATCCACCTAACCTGCACATCTTAGAACTATGGGAAGAAATCCACACAGACATGAGGAGAATGTGCAAACTACACACAGGCAGTTGCCCAAGGGTGGTATCGAACCTGGATCCCTGCTGCTGTCAGACAGCAGTGCTAACCACTGAGCCACTATGCTGCTCTCAAAGTGATTATAAAATATGAGAAATGCATTAATCATGTGATGTATTCAAAGTAGTTACGTTTCAAAGCCGCCTTCTCTTTTAAGACTGTTTTGAAGAGAGAGCTTACCTTTCATCATTTTTAATTGCTTGTGTTTTAATACAAATTTGCTTTTAAATGGCTGTCGAAGTTGCCTGGCATTAGTGCATCTTTGGAATCATGTAGAAGTAAGGCTAGCAGTTGGCATGAAGCTATTAATAACATTAAGCAAATCCAGTACTACTTAGTAATTTCTGGCCCAAGACCAGTGAAGCAGTTGTGTATTACTTTTATCCTAAAATGTGTTTGAAGTCAACAAGGACCCAGGGCCGTTTTGGAAGTATTTAAGCAAGGTCTGTCTTTCTGAAGGTTTTTAGAATGTTATTTTATCCAGAATAAAAGTTTTATTGATTTCTGCTGTTATAAGAATGTTGCTTTAATTCTAGCTAATAATGTAATATTGTATCCATTCAAAACTAAGGTGCTCTCAACAGCAGCCTTGGTAGGAAGATGGCAATGATTGTACATCATTCATGAAGAAAGGTTATATTACCTTTTGATCCTTCAAACAGCTACAACAACCTGCATATATATACTGGCCTGCCACATAGCAAAATATCTTTGGGTGCTTCATGGGTGTTATTGAATGAAGTTTGACACGGAGCCACATAAGGATGTCGGAACAGATACCAAAAGCTTGGCCAAAAAAGGTAACTTTTAAGGAACATCCTGAGGGAGGAGAAAGAGGTAGAAAGTTGGGCTGTCTTAAGGGAATTCCAGAGCTTTGACGCTAGGCAATATGGGACACAGCTGCTGCTGGTGGAACCTGACACGATTTTGGATGATATTGCTGAAGGGCAGAAAGCAGATGAGACTCTAGAGGTAGCAGTCCAGAAGCGAGAAAGGAACCCATTGCAGCTATTTCGTTAAATGGATGAAAATGGAACTGAGTGAGGACACTTGCATCCAGCTGGATGATGGGAAAGAGTTGTAGGAAGTGGCTGGCACAGTCAACAGTTGAAGGTTGCGAACATTAAGGACGGTTTACCATGTTCACAGATACAGAAGTATCATTTATGACTTTTGTAGGATTTTATTTACGACTTTGGTGGGAAGAATAATGACTAAAGTTGGGAGGCAATGCCATGTTCAAGCACTTGGAGAGGAAGAGAGAGATGGGTCAGTACCTTGCACGGAGCAGGAGCGGTTCAACCAGGCTTATGTTTTCAGAAAAATTATGGTTGCAAATTTGAAAGAAAAGTGGACCATACTAGGAGAAAATGCTATGGTCCTTGTTTTAATTTGTATTTGTTTTCAAATTTAACTGTGAATCAGCAGTTATTCTGAAAGGTTGAACATTCTCACAATAAAAATGCTGATACGTCTGTCTCTAGGTTGGTAGTTAATCTGCATGGGAAACAATTTAGCCTTTCTTACATTCTAAATGTCTTCAGACAAAATATATTTTTGATTTCTGTCGTGGAATAAAGAGAATTCAAAGTAACAAAATAACCGAACCAGTTTTTGTCAAAACTTTCCAAACAGTTGTTTTTGTTTTTATTCACCCCTTTTGTTGGTGCACAGTAATTCATTTAAACTATTTTTCTCTCAAGACGTATGACTTGCCTTTCAATAAATGAAAAACAAACTAACTGTGCTACAAATTCAAAATCATAATTAACTATGCTAAGTGCGTGAGATATGGATACTTTTTAAAGCTGTTTCTCTAGTTAAATAGTATGTATTGGTGATATCAGAAGAAACTGATTTAACATTATTGAGCTCAGTTTTTTAAAACACAGGAAATTTGCAAGTAATTTTTTAAAATGCTAGATTAATTCAAAATAAGTTTTTGTTCAAGCTATTAATCTAAAATAACAACAGTTTCCCCACAAAGCAAGAGGAATATCAAGCAGAAACCAAGAAACTAGAAGAAACTGACGTAGGAACTGCAATGGATGCAGACAGCCAAGTAGGTACACTCACGCATGTTATAATATTGACCTTTGTTCCTCCCTTTTTTCAGAGGAATACTCAAGTTTTCTGAAGATGTTTTACAATTTTGTCACTTCATGAAAGAACGCATTGCCACATTTAGGGCGGCGCATTGGCTTAGTGGTTAGCATTGCTGCCTCACAGTACTGGGGACCCAGGTTCAATTCCACTCTCGGGCGACTGTCTGCATGGAGTTTGCATTTTCTCCCCGTGTCGAGGTGGACTTCTTCCAGGTGCTGTAGTTTCCTGCAAAGATGTGCAAGTTAGGTGGATTGGCCATGCTAAATTACCCCTTACTGTCCAGGGATGTGTAGGTTAGGTGTGTTAACCATGGGAAATGCAGGGTTACAGGGATAGGGTAGGAGGATAGGTCTGGTTGGGATGATCTTCAAAGGGTCAGTGTGGACTCATTGGGCCAAATGGCCTGTATCCACACTGTAGGGATTATGGTTCTTTTGAGATTTTTGTTTAAATCATTCGTGGCATATAAATGTGCCTAAGCAAAACCAGCATTTATTGTCCATCCTAATTGCTCCTGATGTATTGTTAGGGAGTCACTGTTTTTGACACTGCTATCATTCCAGACATTAGTACACCCACAGAGCTGTTATAGACTGAGTTCTAGGATTTTGTCCCAGCAACAGTGAAGAAACAAAAATACAGTTCCAAGTCAAAATGTTGTATGATTTGGGGAGGAACTTGTAGGTGGTGAGATTCCCATTCTTCTGCTCTTCTAGGTGCTAATGGTCACAGGTTTGGAAGCTGCTGTTGAAGGAACCTTGGAAATTCCTTCAGTGCATTTGTAGATGGTGCACACTTGTTGCTTGGTGCGTGGGGGGAGTGAATGTTTAAGGTGACAGTGGGTTGCTGATATAGTTGCTGCCTAAGAGTCATTGAGGTCTACAGCATAGAAAATGGCCTTTCAGTCCATTGAATCTGTACCAGTCTAAAATGTCCATTGAATATTTTAATCCCAGATCTAATCCCTTATTCTGGTTGTTGTGAACCATAAGGTAGTGCCCTTGTAAGAAATAAGGGAGTGGAACAGCATAAGTTTAGAATGATCTGTGTCTCCGTAGATTACAAGTTTGTAGGCTTCAACTGTTCTTTATATGTAAAGTTTATGCTCTGATGTGTAATGAGGTAGACTTGATTATAGAGCTTATAGCAAAGGAACTCCTAGGGTCAGTGACCATAATATAGAATTCACCTTGCAGTTTGGGAGGGAGGAACTGGCCAGAGTTGATTAGAAGGGGAGGCTATTGGGGAAGACAGTGGAGCAGCAACGGCATCAGTGTCTAGGGGTAATTTGTGAGACACAGCAGAAATTCATTCCAGGCAAGAAGAATATACAAAAGGGAGGATGAGGAAAACAGTTGACGAGGGAAGTCAGGGACAGTATAAAACCAAAAGAAAAAACATTAAAAGTATTGAAGATTAGTGGGAAGCCTTTAAAAACCAGCAAGGGATAACTTTTTTAAAAAAAAAACAATAAGGGGGGCAAGATGAAATGTAAGGGTAAGCTAGCTTGTAATGTAAAAGAAAATTGCAGGAACCATGAAAGGTAAGAGAGGCTATTGGATTGCTACAGAATGGACTGGAGAAGTAGTAATAGGGAACAAAGAAATGGCAGAGGACTGAATAGGTACTTTGCATCAGTTTTCACAGTGGAAGACACTGCAGCATACCAGAATTTTAAGAGACCCAAGAGTAGAGGTGAGTGTAGTGGCTCTCAGTATGGAGAAGGTGCTGGGGAATCTGAAAGATCTGAAGGGGATAAATCACCCAGACCAGATGGGCCACACACAGAGTTCTGAAGGAGATAGCTGCAGAAATTGTAGAGACGTCGCTGGTGATCTTTCAGGAATCACTGGAGTCAGGGAGAATTCCAGAGGACTGGAAAATGGCAAATGTAACATTCCTGTGTAAGAAAGGAGGGAGGCAAAAGACAGGAAACTATAGGTGGGTTAGTCTGACCTCGGTCATTGGTAAGATTTTAGACTCCATTATTTAGAATAAGATTGTGAAGTACTTCAAAGTGTGTGGCCAAATAGAGTGGAGTCAGCAAGGCTTCATCAAGGGGAGGTCATGCCTGATAATCTGTTAGCATTCCTTCAGGAAGTACCAAGCAGGTTAGACAAAGGAGAGCCAGTGGATGTCATTTATTTGGATTTCCAGAAGCAATATGACAAGATCCCGTAAACAAGGCTGTTAAATAAAAGCCCATGGTGATAACGGCAAGGTACTGGCATAGATAGAGAATTGGCTGACTGGCAAGAGGCTGAGAGTAGAGATAAAGTGGTCTTGTTCAGGATCGTAGCCAGTGACTAGTGCAGTTCTGCAGAGGTAGTGTTGAGACCACAACTATTCCTGTTGTACGTTAACAATCTGGATGAAGGAACTGAGGGCACTGTTGCTAAGTTTGCAGATGACACAAAGATAGGTGGAGGGACAGGTAGTGTTGAGGAAGCTGGGAGGCAGCAGAAGGACTTGGACAGGATAGAAGAACAGAGATGTAGACTGTGTTCTAAACGGGAAAGGGCTTTGGAAATCTGAAGCAAAGAAGGGACTTTGGAGTCCTAGTTCAAGAT